GGTGGCATTCCAAGTTAATTTTTAGAAATTATTATAAAAATATCTTATAATTTAATCAACACGGGATGCCAGCAAGAAATGAAAAGTAATTATTGAGAAATGGAAAAGGTGAAAGTGTTTGGTGATGGTAATTATACCGTGTTTCTTAAAAGCGAATATTTTTTTTAAATGCATTAAAATAATTTTATATTTTAAAATTTATTTTTGATATAAATGTATTTTATTCAAAAATATAAATAATTTAATTAAAAACAAAAAAAATAATTTTTTAAAAATTACAGTCCTACCGGAAAAACAAACACAACTTTACTTATGCCATGAATCTCTTTTAAATAGTGAATAGGTAGGTGTCTCTTTGTAATAGTGAATAGGTAGGTATTTGGTACTACATTGCGGGTTTTATGAAGTTTTTTCTCATTCAATAAAAGATGTCCAGGTGATAATAACCCCACTCAATACAGGTTAAGTTAATTATATACACAACATATGATATGGGATCAGGATTATCTTAAAGAGAAGAAAGTGAAAAAAAAACATAATAAAGCTTAAAATCCAATAATGTAATATCAAATGATAAATATTTTAAAAAAACCAATTTTAAGAAAAAGTAATATTGAAAAAAAAAACCTCAAGTTAAATTGGGTTAACTTGACCAACTTACCATCCATAATATGAGACTAAAATAAAAAAAAAATTATATATATATATATTTTTTAGAAAGACCTAGAATAAAAGACTAAAGTTAAATAAAATAAATGTAAAAAAAAAAAACCAAGTTAATTTCATTAACCTACATTTAGGATAACCCCACATGAAAAAAGTGAAAGAATCAAAAAGCTCAAGGATCAATAACAAAAAAAAAAAATTTCTTAAAAATAATTTGAGGAAAAAAAAACCTTGAATCAATTTGGATTAACTCAACTAACCCTCCACCCGGGATATAAGATCAATATAAACTCAAAAAAATAAAAGTTGAACATATAACAAAGTTCAAGCCCCAATAACTCAATGTTAAATGATAAAATTAAAAAAAATGATAAAAAACAAAAAAAAAACCAACTTAAATTGGGCTAATATTCAAAACCAATTATTCAGATCATGAAAATATGATTATTGTGCAAAAAAGTAAATACAAAAAAAAAATAACGAAGTAAAATTTCTAATCATAATTTTTTTCAAAACAAAACAAATAGTAATCAAAATAATAATGATCAAATATGGTATAAAAGCCAAAATAAAAAATAATTAGAGATTAAATTGAAAAATAAAATAAATTAAAAAAATATTTAAAAATTAGCAATAAAAAAAATGAGGACCATTATTTGATAAAGAAATTCAATGAAATAAAATGTTGAGGTTTAAAATAAAAAAAAACCAAGAAAGTATTAAGAAAATAGAAATCAAAAGAATAAGGATTAAATTTAAATAAAAAAATCTAAGAAAATAAAATGATGAGGGATAAAATTAAAAAATAAATAAGAAAAGGGTAAAATACAAAAAAAAAAGCAATAAAAAAAATGATGACTAAATTGAATACATAAACTATTTGAAACAAAATGTTTAGGTGTGAATTTGAAAAAAAAACTTCAAAAAGCATTACAAGCAAAGTAAATAGTAATAAAAAGAATAAGAACTAAAATTAATAGAAATAGAAACAAGAGGACACAATCAATTTTTTAAACGGCCGACATGAATTTTTAAGTTAAGAGAAAAAAAAAGAGAGAAGGGAAAACAAAAGAGCTCATCAAAGCCCAATCACATCTTTATTGTGAACACACATCTCACAAATACGAAAAGGACAATGCGCTTCTTCAAATATCATTGTCATTGTAGATGACTGATTTTAGTCATAAGAATATGATTACCTTAACTTAAATTTGGTTACTATTCAAGATCAATAATTTAGGTCATGAGAATATAATTACCTTGCAGGAAAGTAAACACAAAAAAACTAATGAAGTAAAATTTCTAATCAAAATTTTTTTTAAAACAAAACAAATAGTAATTAAAATAATAAGGATCAAATATGGTATAAAACCAAATGAAAAAAATAATTAGGGATTAAATTGAAAAATAAAATAAATTAAAAAAATATTTAAAAATTAGCAATAAAAAAAATGAGGACCATTATTTGATAAAGAAATTCAATGAAATAAAATGTTGAGGTTTAAAATAAAAAAAAACCAAGAAAGTATTAAGAAAATAGAAATCAAAAGAATAAGGATTAAATTTAAATAAAAAAATCTAAGAAAATAAAATGATGAGGGATAAAATTAAAAAATAAATAAGAAAAGGGTAAAATACAAAAAAAAAAGCAATAAAAAAAATGATGACTAAATTGAATACATAAACTATTTGAAACAAAATGTTTAGGTGTGAATTTGAAAAAAAAACTTCAAAAAGCATTACAAGCAAAGTAAATAGTAATAAAAAGAATAAGAACTAAAATTAATAGAAATAGAAACAAGAGGACACAATCAATTTTTTAAACGGCCGACATGAATTTTTAAGTTAAGAGAAAAAAAAAGAGAGAAGGGAAAACAAAAGAGCTCATCAAAGCCCAATCACATCTTTATTGTGAACACACATCTCACAAATACGAAAAGGACAATGCGCTTCTTCAAATATCATTGTCATTGTAGATGACTGATTTTAGTCATAAGAATATGATTACCTTAACTTAAATTTGGTTACTATTCAAGATCAATAATTTAGGTCATGAGAATATAATTACCTTGCAGGAAAGTAAACACAAAAAAACTAATGAAGTAAAATTTCTAATCAAAATTTTTTTTAAAACAAAACAAATAGTAATTAAAATAATAAGGATCAAATATGGTATAAAACCAAATGAAAAAAATAATTAGGGATTAAATTGAAAAATAAAATAAATTAAGAAGAAGATTAAAAATAGCAATAAAAAAAATGAGAACTATTACTTGATAAAGAAATTAAATGAAATAAAATATTAAGGTTAAAAATAAAAAAAAACCAAGAAAATAGAAATCAAAAGAATGAGGATGAAATTTGAATAAAAAAATCTAAGAAAATAAAATGATGAGGGACAAAATTGAAAAACAAATCAAGAAAAGAGTAAAACACAAAAAAAAAAATCAAAAGAATGAGAAATTGAATATAAAAACAATATGAAACAAATTTTTTAGTTATGAAATTAAAGAAAAAACTTCAAAAAATATTAAAAGCAAAACAAATAATAATCAAAAAAATAAAAACTAAAATTAATAGAAATAGAAACTAGAAGACACAATTAATTTTTGAAGGGATGACATGAATTTCTAAGTTAAGAGAAAAAAAAAGACTTATCAGAGACCAATCGCACCTTTGCCGTTAACACACATCTCGTGAATACAAAGAGGATAATGCGCCACTCCAAACATCATCGTAGATGGCTGATTTTGGTCATCGGATGACCTTGCATGTGCTAACACGTGAGATGCACACGTCAACAATTTTTTTACAGTATTTGTTTTTCAAACTTACCAAACAGCCCCTAGGTAAAAAATAAGAAAAATAAAAAAACCCCACTTTGGAAACATATTTATATATTTTTTTTATTATTTTAAAGGCACCTTTATCACTTCACGATTCTTAAAAAATAAAAAGATACTTGAGTGGTAAAGAGAGAATTCATTATCCTAGATAAATTAAAAAAATATATTTTATCTGTTCTCAAATAGTATCAACTGAGAAATTTTTAATTAAGGTGGAATAAGATTTGAAAAGAGTTTCAAATCTTATTTAAACGATCAATGATTATTATGTAGATAATAATCATAATTTAACATGACAAACATATTCAATACTTTAATATTAAATGAAAATATTATTAATGAAAGGGTATTAATTACACCGAAAAACTAGTCACTAGAAGGTTAAGTGAAACTACTAATATGTTGAAAATCATGACACGTTGATAGGCGATTTACCTTATTTTTAAATATAAATTAATCAATTATTGAATTGATAATATGTTAAATTATTTAATTTATTTAATTATAATTTATATTTGGATTAGAAACTTAATAGGTAAAACGCATTAAAAACCTGTAGATAGAAATTAAACTGGAATGATTTAATTAAGTATGATTTAATTAAAATATATTTTAAAAATTAACGACTAGAATATAATTAATATAATAATTATATTTTTAGACCTCAAAAAATCAAATAAATATCTAATTAAATTAATTTTTAAAATTTTTCTGAATTAATATATAAATATTATTAAAAGGATAAGTTGATATTTTATTAATTTATAAAAAAATTTAGATTTTTTTTTAAATAATAAATTATACCTTTTATTTTGTAAATTATTCATACGGACTGCAGACTTGACTAGCGAAGTTTCAGAGAAGCAACGTGGCTATGATTTGAAGACAACATTCATCTTGACTTTTTGTTTTTGTTTTTTTCGTATGTTCAACTTGACTTTGGTTGTTGGTTAGTAAATGTCTTTGTCCCACGCTGGCCAATCCGCGTGGGCTTCACACGTTGTGGACTTGACAAATCGGGAATCACACGCCACAGAAGATTGCCTCAAATTAGATGGTGGCGTTGCTTTTGTATACTCCCCAAAGTCAAGAACGTCCTTTACGTGGGTCTCCACGAAGAAATTTGGCAACCAAGAGGTTACTAAAACTAAATATCTTTTTCATTTAGTAGGTTACTAAAGTGTCCTGCATTCCTTAATTGGGTTTACTATCCAAACTATACTTCTTGCCCAAAACAACAACGTTCTATTAAATAAAAAAAATTAATATGGATGAATGTGTGACTCAAATGAGAGATGTCTAGTATTAGGGATGGAGTTTTTTCCTATTATTTTTTATCCAATAGAAGTTCCATCAAGTTTTACATTATAATCTTTTCTTAAAAATAAAAACACAAAATAAAATAAAGCTTTTTTAAAACGAAATTCAGAATATATCCTAATTAAAACAGGGTAAAGCATGAAACTTGCAGCCAGGACCTTTTGAACATGGATGGGTAATGTGTGGCCACTAAAACCAGCCCATAAATATATTTATTCAGACAACACTTGAACAGAAATCATAGTATTGCTCTGACAAGTTGGGCCACACTCCAGAAATCATAGGACCTTTTATATGTTCGAACACAAACACATATTAAAATGAAAACCATCCAATACTATTCATACATATATAATTGTCAGCTTCATCTCCATCTGAATCCTCATAGCACGATCATCTCCTGAATTTTCTATCCAGAGGCCACACAGTAAAGATTTCCTGTGGTTCTGACCAGTAAAAGAGATCAACCTTAGCAGTGTAGCTGGTCCTCTTGAAGGGTACCTGTAGTTCAAAAAGAATAATAAAAAAAAGACAAACAAGAAAAAACTTCCACCTCACAGAGAGAGAGCGAGCTTACTTGAAATTATCTTCATTTTTAGTATATTATAATCTTTGGGATGTGAGCTATCTTAGGCCAGTCCTCTCCTCTCTCTTTCTGACACCTCTTCTTCAATTTTGGACAATTGTCAATTATCAACGAGATGAGGTTGCTGAGACTCTGCACCCCATCTGGCAAAGACTCCACGTTAGGGCAAAACCCAATCTCCAAGCGTGAAAGGGGTGTGAGATATCCAATCTGATTTGGCAAAGAAGCTAATCCCTTGCAGTCTCGTATACGTAGAGATCGGAGAGAAGTGAGATGTTGGATACTCTCTGGCAATGAATTCACCTCTGGACACTGACTAAGATCCAAATCCTCAAGTGCCGTCAGATGTTGCACTCCATCAGATAGAGATGTGAATTTATCACAATATCCAACAAATAACTTACGAAGAGAAGATAAGCCACACAGCCCATTCATTGGCAGACAATTTAATCTTCCACAACAACGTATCTCCAAAACCTCCAAGGAAGTGAGGTTCCGAAGACCTTCCTCTGGCAAGCTTTCAAGTTCATCACAGCACCAAATCGTCAAGCTTTTAAGAGCAGAAAGGTTATCTAATACCTTATTAGACAAAGACTCCAGATCTGGCAGATAATCAATTTTTAAGCTTTCAAGTAGGGTATGATTTTGCAAAAACCCTCCAGGAAGCTCCCTCACATTTGGAATCTGTCTTATATAAAGGGAGGTGATAGAAGTGAGATTCCTAACTGACATCATTAATGAAACATTACCTCCTTGGATGTCTAATTTTTTGACGGAGGGTATAATTGGTATCTCGTTCAACACAAGGCAATAAGCTATCTTCAATTCTTGAAGGTGAGGAAGAGTACACGCAGCCCATTGCTCTAATCTTTCCATTGAATCGAAAGTCAGCGTCTCCAAAGATGGGAATGGATTTTGCCCATCTCCATACACATTACTGCCAATACTCTTCACACCATCCATTCCATGCAATACAAGACTCTTGAGGAACTGCAGTTTCCCTAATGGTGGAAGTTGTTCACAGTTGGAGCATGCTTTTAGCTTCATCTCCACTAGATTTGGTAGCATGAAGTTCAAGTTCATCATCCAATTTGGAAATTTTGAACCTCCATATCCCAATATCCTCAACCTCTTCAATTTTGAAGGAGGTTGAAGCCCATCAAGAACCTCCTCGTTATTTTCCTGAATTCTTTCTTCGTTGTGGTGGCACAAATGACCGAGGGCTAAAAAGGTAAGATCCATTACCATGCCAAGATAAAGTCAATGATAAAAGAGCTGTCTTCAACTTCAAATTGGCACTTCTGGCATCTTTTAAATTCCTGACATTCACAAGATCTGCGATACTCAATTCACCAGCAAGATTATTCAGCCTTTCCAGCTCACTTATGCGACAACCATTCTCCCCACCCACAATGAACAGGGTAAGTTTTCGGAGGTATATCAATTGCCCCATTCCAGCAGGCATAAATCGAAGTGAAACACAACCCGTGATGTCAAGATAATGTTACGTGCACAAAGTAAACCAAGAAAAGACGGGTAGATTTCAATTGTTAAAATGTCGTTTTAGTTGTTATAGTCATGGTTAAACGCCCCATTTCATTAAATGAGATTGTTCCTATAACAATCTCCAGCACACGGCTTATGTGTGCTGTTAGTCCTAAATAAAAGGAAACGGTTATGGCCAGAAGTAAGTTGTGTATATATATATATACAGCATAGTTGTAACAGAGGGGTATTGAAAAACATAATGAAAGCATGATGAATGGAATTGCCATTAACCACTCTACTTCCACTGTAAACCTTTTTCTTCTTTCTACGTAACCCTTGCCAAATACTGGATTTCATTCCAGTTGGCTCTTTAGAAATAACATTTGTATCAACTGGTATCAGAGCTTGCGAACCTTGAACACTAGCCATGCCTCCAGACACTAGAACACAGGAACTAAGGCGCTTGGAGGAGACGCTTGAGTCTGCCAACAAGGAGCATGCAACCAAATATGAGCAACTAACCAAGTTAATGAAAGTGTATGGCCAGAAAATGGAGAGCCATGAGGTTAAGTTTGAAGAGATCAAAGACTTGATCGGTGGCTTAACATTCCAGCAAAACACCTTCTTACAGAGGCTAAGCTTAAGAAGAGGTGAACCAGTTGCTCATCATGAGCAACCAGGATGCTCCAATGGAGTCAGCAGGA